CGATAATGATCAAACACTGCCCGACAAGAGAGGACCTCTCCTTCGATTGCAAGGTACAATGCTGCACTCTCTACTCACATGGATCCCGGGAATTAAAACCTTTTGCAAACATTTTGAAACCATAATATATATATATATATTATATCTTTATATAAATATATTTTGCAAAAACAAATTTCAACGGTTGAAATCAACTGTCGGCAATTTTAGGTTTCCATCAGAGAAAGTGCATCCCCGACCATTCACTTTGTCTGACAAAGGGGATGATCCTGTCACTATGATCACCCACTCAGATGAATTCTCGAACTGTACCAACATACCCAGGTTTTGACCCCCTCTAAGGATCTCACTGAATGACATATTAAAGACAACCCAATCCGATAGTGCAGTACCATAATCGAGTCTAGGGGTCAGGTGTAACATTCCCGTTTTGCCCATCTATCTCCAAGGTCTAGGGCAATACTGGAATTTCAGTTCGGTTCAGGGCTTCAAGAAAACCCACACTGCATGTACCTCAGGATTGACCCTGGCAGTTGAGAGAAGCCACCCCAACCAACTTGGCGGTACATCAGTGTCAGCTTTGGTAGGATAAATTTCCCTAGACTTATCCAACGGCTGTGAAGATTCTGAACTAATACGAGTCTCATAAGTGTCCAGATTAAGGCTATTACATAGAAACACACCACAATGACATGAATCGATTATGTACTTTATTCATTTACAATAAATGTCAAAAGGTACATCAATCTTAATGGAGCTAAGGGCATACCGTTTAACATTGAGAGCGTTGTGATCACTTGTTTGAGTGTCTTTTGCGCATTCTGCATAAGACCTAAGTCCATATACGTGCATTAGCCCCCTTGCTTATTGACAAAAGTATTTTTGTCTAGAAGCAAAGTTTGTTTTTGTGGTGATTAGTAAAAAAGGGTTTGGTCATTTTGCGAGTTACATGACTTAGAGTAGCCCCTTTGCTTATTGACAGAAGTCTTTTTGTTAGTAAGCATATGCGACTAGGGGGACTTGCATTGTAGTATTCTACTTTTGAATTGTGATGCATGAAATGATCGATGTTTGGAATATGCGTTGTATTTTTTGTTCATTGCAACGGTTAAATACCAGATGTGTGACCTTTGGTCTTTATTGGCACGTCTAGGAGTAAATGGTGTAAGAATGTACTAGTATTTAATGTTAATGGCATGATTAGCCTTTACTATGGCGTTGTGTCAATCATGGTTTATAGAAACCAGAAGCTCTATGAAGTCATTTTCTATAAACATGGGTTTAACCCCATTATGCCACGTGGTGCCCCATGATTCATACTTTCCTAGTCGCTTTCGGGGAGTTTGGTATATCAGCAAAGGATGTGACCTCTTTGCTGGCCCTTAGCCCTAGGGTTGATTTTACCCCGATGAGTCTAGTGAACATCAACTATTTGTTGGAGTCACTAAACCCTCTGCTAGAGTTCGTGTGTTTTGACACTATAGAGTTCAAGACTGTGATAGGGAAGACTAAGGTTCATGGAAAGATGCCACTTGTGCCATGGCTTCATTTTTGGTTTAAAAATGGCGATAAAAAGTAAGAAATTAGGGGGGAACATGGCAGAAACAATTAGTTGCTTTTTATCTTGTATATCGTGTCATGGTTCCTTTTTCTTGGTAGTTTAGATGGTGGCATGAGAGTGACACTATTGCCACTTGTGATGTTGGCTTCTGTTGACTACAATGCTATTGTTATCCATGTTTTTAGGGTATTTGTTTGACTAGATGGACAACATTATCTGTTAATTATTGGATAACAATACCAAGGTCAATTCGTATGTGTACACCCCTTTTTGGTTCATGTGGCTATCTAAAAGTTTGAACATAGCCAACATTCCTTGCGAGTTGCAGCCTTTCGATTTTGTGTTTGCAAGGAGAAAAGGGGGTGGGTGGGGGGAAGGACAAGAAGAAGACTGTGTTACCTTGTCGTGACAAGCACCAGATGAATTGCAAGTCTTTGAAGAAGTTTACCAAGGCAGCCATTGAGAAGGCTTTCAGTAGGATAAGCTTAATTTTTTGCCCATATGTGTATCAGGTTGATAACGCTTAAGATTTGTGCATAGGGAGGATTGTTGAGGAAGAGGAGACTGAAAGAATTTTGGAATTTTGGGCTAACTGTGACGATTCCGAGGCTGAGAATGCTGCCGTTACCTGTTGGCCTGGGGTATTTGCACATATTGGACAATGCAGGTGCTTTGAAGTTTATTGTCTATAGGCTTGATAGGTTCCTTGGGCAGTTTGGATATGACCCCGTTGGGTTCTTGTTTTTGACTTTGGAGGTGGAGGATTCCTTTTGCCATTTTAATCGAAAGTTTGCATTCACAGATTGCGAAAATTTTCCCCTTGCTGCCTATGATCGTTAACTGCTCATGTGATTAAAGGAAGTGTTGCCTTTGTGGCAACAATTCACAGGGCTGAAGGAGTTTTTGGTGATGGAGCCTCATCCTTAGCACATTTTTGCTCCTCATGAAGGCAGTGTAGTGGAGAAGAAAGGGAAAGGGTTTGCATAAAGGAAAGCCCTGGGGGGTGGGGAGAAAGGTGTGAGTCCCCAAGCACATGAGAAGAGGAAAGGCAAGGGCAAGGGTCCACGCAGTGTGGAGTTGATGAGTCAAGTAAGGGCGCTGCACCGAAAGGTAAAACACCCACAAAGGAAAAACTTGTGTTGAAAAGGGTGCTTGAGACTGCCACAGCTTCCTCCCATATAGGGTGTCTGTCGAAGAGGAAGGTCCTTATTTTTGAGGTTGCTATGCGCGATGAGCCTCCTGCTAAAGGTTTAACTAGTGAGGTTGCTTCAGAAAGGGGTCCAATTGGCGATGAGGCCATGTAGAGGGTTGAGGTATGGTTTGTGGAAGTGTTTTCATCTTCTAGTGAAGAGGAAAGAAGTGTTGAGGCTGATCATCTGACATTAGAGATGACACTTGCATTGCATAACAAGATGCTTTTGGAGCTGTGATAGTCCAAAGGACGAAGGCAAAAGAAAATGGCTTCTCATTGACGTTTAGACAAGGTACGTTGTTTTGTTGTATGGGGAATTGATTGAGTATTGTATGTGAACGTTATACCAACTTTTCATATGTTGTATAGAGGGCTAGAATGCAGTGTGATATGGCTGTAGATTATGGTTCACACCTAGGCCCTGTAGTGGAGTAATGCACATGACTTGCTCCTTGATCAAATCCACCTCAAAACCCATATTATCATATATGGGTTGGGGAGGAAGGGGGAATCTTTACACCAAAGATTCTAGTGTGAGCGAGGAGGTAAGGCATGTAGGTCCACTTGAAAGATGGTAGATGGCTTCAGAGAGGAGGAAGGGAGGAAAGGTTCCAGATGACTTCGAGAAGGCTTTAATGGAGGTTGGGGTCACTATCGGGCAGAGCTTACATATAGGATGATTTTGAATGCATGAGAGCTTCAAGCCGCCTCTATTTATAGAGAGCTTCCTAACCAAATAGGAAGTCACTTAATGAGTAAGGAGACCTTTCCCAAAGCGGGAATTTCTGTTAGTCGGTTAGATTTGAGATGGGTGGGACTGCATTGTGGGGATTTTTAGGCTACGTTAGTCGTGATTCGGTGTTCTCCAATGCATTTCTTTTGCTCTTTGAGCATGGAAATTTGGGTGTGGATGCGATGACAGTGCGTTGTGGTCACTTGCTTGAGTGTCTTCAGCACACTCTCCATAGGACCTAAATTCTTGTACTTGCACTTTCATTTTGAGGTTGGTTTATTTTGGGTGTAGGTTGAGTAAACTATTGATCTTGAGTCCCTCTTCAAAGGCCCCTTTGCTCCATCTACCTCCTTGAGGCAAGATTTTGTGGAGATGCTTTAGGGCTGCTACCCTTTCGATGATATGGCAAGATTAGGTGAGTCATGTCTCACAAGCTTCTTTTCCTGTCTTATTATTTCTGTTCCTTTTATTGGTTGGATAACTTCTTATGGCATCTCTTGAAATTGTTAATGTAATTCCTCTTGGATTATGCTTGTGATAATATTAATATGCTTGTGTTATTTTTCTTTTTGAAAGCAACGCCAATTCATATTCTGTACTGGTTTCAGGAATTAAGTAAGATCATATTGAGATTGTAGTCAAACTTCATTAATGGTTTAGATGCACTGTCATACTTTTTTAATTTCTTGGAGTTGGAAATTCCTTGGTTTCCCTCTTTGCTCCAAAGTTCCCTTTGAATAATTGTTTAGGTTCTCCTTGTGACAGGTTTATTTGAGACTTTACTTGCTCCAAAGTTCCCTTTGAATATTTTCTGTAGTGTCTGCCCCTAACAGTAGTCAAGAAATCCAACCATCAGTTGTTATATGAACATTCCTAGGATTCTTTTATTTTTTTGATCAGTTTAGGATTCTTCTTCATTAGCTAGAGTTGTATGGAGACAAGGTTCGAAGAAGAACAATATTACAAATTCAGCATGTGTTAATCGCTAGCTCCTCTGTGCCCTGTATTCTTTTCTTTTTCTTTCTTTTCATTTCATGGATCCAGAACAGGTAAGGACAAGGGGTTGTTTTCTTGACCACAAACAGTCAGTTTTTGGTATCACTTTCTTGAATGCATAAATGGATGGGAAACCTGAGACCATATTGCTAACTGAATGCTCTTGTTTTAATGTAGATGCTGGAGGAAACAACTAATAATTGCAAAGGACACCAGACGAGTAGACATACTTTGTTATCGTGTCTCTCTCAGCCAAAAGCTTCTTAGTGGAACTGAGAAGTACCAAAAGCTGTATGAGATTGTGGTCACTGCAGCAAAGAAGCTTGAAGCTGAAGTAGGACCTTTAGCTGGTTTACCTGTAAAGATGGGACGAGGTATTGTGAACAGGCTTTCCTCTGGCCCGGAGGTCCAGAAGTTCTGTGCTTATGCTGTCGAATCACTGGATTCAATGCTGTCATCTGGTACCTTGCATTATCTTCCCAATTCTAAGACTCAAGGTAGCATTAATCCTAGATTCTATGATTTGGTATTCTGAAAACATGGATATTGGTGGTAAAATATGAATATCTTATGAGTTGGTTGGGTGTGTTTCAATGTTGCAGAATCCAAGTTGATATCTCCAAACCTTATCAAATTTGAAGACATTTCTCCAACATCGCTTACTGTGGTCTTGGGATCTAGAGATGCACCGCTGGAGTCTGGAAGGTACGTCCTGTGGCATAGGAAGGCTGATGTTCTGGACTATCCAACAACCCCTACCTGTACTTTGTTCAAGCCAAATACTAGGTTTTCGGTATTAGATCTTGCTCCAGCTACAGAATATGTATTCAAGGCCATTTGCTTCCATGACAAAACAGAGTTAGGGATGTCAGAAGTAAGGGTAACAACCACCAGTACTGGAAGTAATCTCTCCAAATCTGCAGTAGTGAATAGAAGCCAAAGCCCCACAACCAACAGTAGCAGTGTCTCTAATCCTTCTTCAGAGGGTGATGAATCTAATAACATAATCACATATGGTAAACAGAATGATAATACCCCAGGTGGTTATTTCAGTTACTGCAAGAAAATCGAGAAAACTGATTCTTTAAAATTATCAGATGATGCCAGCAAAGATGCAAGTGACTGTCAGAACATGAGTACTGGGTTGGGGGAAGAAGAAACACAGGGAGACGTGGCTTCTGCACTGGATGAAGAACATGCTATAGCGGCATTGGAGCCTATGCCCAACTCGACAACCCAAACAGATTCTCAGAGAGGCTCTACAAACTCTACCGAGAACCAGATGTCTGATGTTAAAGCTGATAACAAGCACTCTCCTGAGGAAGGTCGATTGGTTGAGGAGACTAGCACTGATACTGGATTGCACACCCCTGTCGGGAAAGAGTTGGACGTGGTGCCCTATGGGCATCTCTCCGATGCTGTTGTACCTATCACTCCCTGCAAGCTGGAGATCAGTAAAGATGGGCTAGGGAGAAGTGGTAAACCAAAACCCAGCAGTGGGGAGGTTGGTAATCAGTCTGGAAAGATGGAAGAGCCACAGGCTGGAAGTTCATCAAAGCAGAGAAGTGGGGTGAGGTGGAATAATGATGGATGTGCTAGTGATGGCTCTTTGGAGAGGGAATATGAGTACTGTGTGAAGATTATACGATGGCTGGAATGTGAAGGGCACATTGAGAAGAACTTCAGGGAGAAATTCTTAACTTGGTATAGTCTGCGAGCTACAATACAAGAAAGGAGGATTGTAAAGGTATTTGTTGATACGATGATCGATGACCCATCTTGTCTTGCGGGGCAGCTGGTTGATACCTTCTCGGAATGTATATCTGCCAAGAGGCCTCTAGCAGTGCCAACTGGGTTCTGCATGAAGCTGTGGCATTGATTGTTCACTGGGGTCCAGCTCCAGGTCAACTATTCTTATATACAAGCCTATGAAGGGTTTGTATTTCAGTGATTCTTTTGGGGAGACCCAAATTGATCATTCATCATTCGACAATCCATTCATGTCAGCATTGTCTGTTGATTTAGATTGAAAACATTGGAAGTCCTTTCGGTAAAAACATATTCTTTTGGCTCCTCGAGCATGCTATTCTTTTGAAACTAACGGAATGTTTGGGTGTATAATACTATCAATACTGTAATGCAAGCTGGGGCATGGTGGTGTATTGAGGGAAGTAGCCAAAACCAGGGGGGCTTGTACACATATACAAGTGTAAGACTTACAAGAGAATGACACTAGTTACAAACCAAAAGTTAAGTTATTGTGTTATGGGCCACTCTTGTATACTAGTCCCATGCACCTTTCGTTCATTTTCAATGTAGGATTTTTTTTTTCATTGCATACATTACTTGCATATGAATCCTAACAATCTCTCTTATGTACGAGTCTCTTTCATAATCGGAATTTCATACTCCACTTTGAAAAAAAAACGTTATTGTATTATCAAGTTCGATGTGCACTAAGAGCTTTTTGCTCACGATCATAAGGGACCCAACATTAGATTAGATTCTCATGGGTGGAGTTATCATGGGAGATCAATCAGTTATGCCAATTGTTTAGACTATGGGGAAGCCGTAAAGTCATGGGAGCCATCACATGTATTTGTCAGAATTTATGCACAGCCAAACCTTTGGTTTTGATATCACTGTTGTGCATTAAGGGTAGTTGCCAAAAATGGAGGACTCGTACATGAACACACGTAAGACTTATGTACCAAAGACGGACATTACTTAAAACCCAAAAGCCTAAGTTATTGTGTTAATGGGCCACTCATGTATATAAGTTCCTTACCTCTCATTTCTTTCCAATTGTATACATTATTTGCATGTGAATCCTAACAATATTTGTTATATTTTTCTTTATGTGTAGATGGGGCCTATTCATGTGTTGAGATTGTTGCAATTTCACTCTTATAAAGAAGGTTTGGTACCTTAGCTTTGCAATAAGGACATCACAGGGTGTGTTCATGTCAGGGTTAATATAGGAAAGTATGGAGATCACAAGCTTGTGAATGGATTATAGATTCATCATATGGATGGCCGAACCCTGCAGGTAGGTTAGGCGAAATTTAAAAAATTTTCTCTCATTTCATCTGACAATCACATTCCCTATTTTAAAAAATTTGCATTTTCAAAGATCAATCTTAAACCATAAACCGAACCAAATTTGAAATTAGAAACTAGAGATGGATATACCTGATACGGAGAAGCAGTATCTCCCAATGGAGGTGTTCACGCCCAAGGTAGGAACCAAAATCTACTCCCACTGAATATGGCATAGTTTAGGATGGAGCAGAATTAGTAATGTTCGTTCAACGAATTGAATCCTTCACAAGAATTCGTTGGAGGTTGTGAGCACAACATTAGATCAGCCTTTCCCCAAAGACTGATATCAAGATCCAATCTTGATCGTTCCTGCTTGAAGGAGGAAACCGAACTGGCAGTAATGGCGATAGGAAAGAGGTGACAAGGAGAAAACAACTTAGTATTATTGGGTGTTGTGTTCTCCCTCTGAATTTTGAATGTGATGATCTCCTAAAAGCTGCCGCCCCATTCTCCTTTTATAACCTTAAATGGATCAGCTCCTAATCCCATTAGGAGTTGCTGATCCAAATCATATTTGGATTTAAATTCCCTTTAAGAGATAATGATAGGCTTTTATGTTATTTGCAGATTAGATCAGCCATCTCCTAATCTTATCAGGAGGTTTTCAGATCTGAATCTGTATTTAGATTTGGACTCTGAGTGGATAGGGTCACCCTATCCTATCTGCTAATCTAATATCACATTCACACCTTTATTTAATTGATCAAATCAGCCCAGTTCGAAATGAGCTTTAGGCCCAATAAGAGAATGTGCTCACTTAGCCTTTCAAATTGCTGCCCAGTTGGGCTTCCTAGTATGGCGTGGGACCCAAGCATTGATCTACACATCAGCCATAAGGATTCGGCCCAGCCTTTGTTACAAGGCCTAGCCGAATTCACTAGAAAGCCTAGTGAACCCCTTGAGCCCATCACATGGATTCTATGGGCCCAAACACTAAGTGGTCCCTGGGCCAAACCACCTTGTAACAATTAGGGACTGTGAGCAGATGCTAGATTAGCCCATCAGGTATTACCCTCAATGGTTTTACACTTAACCTCTCAGCCCTTAATGATCATACACTGCCCGACAAGAGAAGACCTCTCCCTTGGGTGCAAGGAACAATGCTGCACTCTCTACTCACATGGATCCCGGGAATTAAAACCTTTTGCAAACAATTTGAAACCGTAACATATATATACTTTTATAAAATATATTTTGCAAAACAAATCTCAACGATTGAGGACTGATCCTGTCACTATGATCACCCACTCGGATGAATTCTCGGACTGTCCCAACATACCCAGGTTTTAACCCCTTCTGAGGATCTCACTGATTGACATATCAAAGACAGCTCAATCCGACACCTAGTGCAGTATCATAATCGAGTGTAGGGGTCAGGTGTAACTTTCTAGTTTTGCCCACTAATTGTTAGACAGTTTTGTATGCCCTTAGCTTCAATCATTTTGATGTACTTTTGTTATTTAGTGGAAATAAATAAAGTGCATGTTTGATTCATGTTGTTTAGTTTAATTCTGTGTAAAACCCTAAAAC